ACAGCCAGGAATTTCTTCCCAATATCCCATCTGGCCCCTCTTTAGGGAAGTGTCTTTTACTCTTTAATCACTGAAGGGCTGCTGTTAGCTGCTTGTAATGGTCTCCATCCACAAAAAAATTAGAGTCTTGATCCTAAAATTGTCCTTGTGTAATTCAGATGATAAAATACAGCAGCCAAACAGTTGGAGTAAATTTATCAGACACTGGGCTGGTGTTTGGTGTGAAATTTGTCTAATTTCTCCTACTCTTTTTGATTGTGTGGTTTTTGGCACAAGGACCTCAGTTCCTTGGAAAAGGCAGAGAACAATTTAGGAGTGTTATTTAATCATGAAACTACAACTTGCAGGTCATTTTCTGCTTAGTGTAATACGAAGTTCGCACTTTGTTTTCCTTTTATTTGATTATGGACAGGTAGGATTATAGTTAGAGCTGGCTTACAAAATTTGTAAATGCTGTGTAGAAGACTGACCTTTTATCCTTAATTTTTATTTCTGAACCTTTTTTTCTGTTAAAATTCTTTCAGAGAAAACAACATTGTTAACAATTGTCCCAGTGTTTATCCATCAGTTTCTGTGAGGTGCTGTATTTGACATTTTAGTCAGAATTTATCCAGCCAGATCTTGCTTTCTTAAGAGGACCTGTGAGCAGTATAAGTTCTTAAACTACAACTTTATTAAGAGCTACACATTTTCTTGTTGAATTTGTTTTTAGTTAAAAAAACAAACAAAAATAAACAAAAAAAGGAACAAAAAAAAAAAATCCTGTGTGCTGGAGCCACAAATTTAGTAGTGGCAGTCATACCGAGGGTTAAAAAAGTGGTAACAAGAAAAAGTGTTAGTTTTAGACTTGGGTCTTGTCTGGTGTTTCCTTTGTAGCAGAAAGAATTGTATCCAGGGAAGACAGAGTATCCATTGTATCCAGGGAACACAGAGTATCCAGGCTGTGCTCTTGCTGCCCCCTGGAAGGATTTGCTCAGGGGATCTTTTCTGTGTCCTGTGTCGGTAGAACACCCGGGAGACGGCGCAGGCCATCAAGGGCATGCACATCCGCAAGGCCACCAAGTACCTGAAGGATGTCACCCTGAAGAAGCAGTGTGTCCCCTTCCGGCGCTACAACGGCGGCGTCGGGAGGTGCGCCCAGGTGAGCTCCTGCAAACGCAGCCAGGAGCCTTTGGCTGTGCGTGCTTGAGGCAAAAAGGTGATGTGGAGATGTGTGGATGTGGACTGCTGGTGGTAAACTTGCACTAAAACACATAATCACAGCGTGGTTTGGGTTGGAGGGGAGCCCAGAGCTCATCTCACTCCCATCCCCTGCCATGGGCAGGGACATTTCACCAGACCAGGCTGCTCAAGAGGGAGGAAAGAGTGGCTGTTCATTCCAGAAGATGCATCTTCGTGGAGTGTTTGCATCTAATTGGCAGCATCAAGTCAAAGGAATTAAATTTAGTTGAGTTCAGTGCGCTCCAAAATAGAATATATTATAATCCATTCTAATCTGTAAGATGTGGAGTCCTCAGCGCAGGATGGACATCAGCCTGTTGGAGCCAGCCCAGAGGAGGCCACGGAGCTGCTGCCAGGGCTGGAGCCCCTCTGCTCTGGAGCCAGCCTGGCAGAGCTGGGGCTGTTCCCCTGCACAAGAGAAGCTCCAGGGAGAGCTCAGAGCCCCTGCCAGGGCCTCAAGGGGCTCCAGGAGAGCTGCAGAGGGACTGGGGACAAGGCAGGCAGGGACAGCACACAGGGAATGGCTCCCACTGCCAGAGGGCAGGGACAGATGGGATATTGGGAATTGCTGGCTGGGAGGGTGGGCAGGCCCTGGCACAGGGTGCCCAGAGCAGCTGTGGCTGTCCCTGGATCCCTGGAAGTGTCCCAGGCCAGGCTGGATGGGGCTTGGAGCAGCCTGGGACAGTGGAAGGTGTCCCTGCCCATGGGAGAGTGTGACACTGAATTAACTTTAGGGTCTCCCCCAGCCCAGACCGTTCTGTGACAATGACAAGTTAAATGTGTATAGAAGCTAACGGGAATGGACAGGCCAAAAGCAGAACTCCCATTGTTGCCCTCCCATTCCAGGCCAAGCAGTGGGGCTGGACGCAGGGCCGCTGGCCCAAGAAGAGCGCAGAGTTCCTGCTGCACATGCTGAAGAATGCAGAGAGCAACGCTGAGCTCAAGGTGGGTGTTTCTGAGCATAAAGTGGTGTCGTGCTCTCTGTCAGCACCCCTGGCCTGGGTATCACTGACCTGGGCAGCCACTTGCTGCTTCCTCCTCAAAACTCAACTGCCTGGAGGGTTTGGTGTGGCTCCCTGTTTAAAGCAGGCTGTGTGTGTTCTTCAAGTTAAATGGCAGCAACAGTTTTTTACCGGGAGTAACTTAATTTAAACTTCACACAAAAGGGCTTTGAGATATCTCAAAATCTGAAACTGACATCTGCAGATTTGGTCAGTCACTGTCTTTGTTGTTATGGCATAATTTGCTAGCTTTGTTGGCAGTGTTGGATTAATACCTGGCACCTTTGAGTAACCATGAAATAACCATAGACAATGAGCTGTCAGCTCAATTTTAAATTATTTGTGGTGTGTGAGGGCTGGTCTTTGTCATTTTAAATGGTGCATGCTTTGGAAAGCCCTTTAGAAAGTGTCTCCTTGACACTGCCAAGCTCAGCAGTTCCATTGGTAGATCCTTGGAAAACCCTGAGCTCCATGGCACAGCAAAGCCTGGCTGTGTCACTGGTGAATCCTTGGAAAATCCTTGGAAAACCCTGAGCTCCATGGCACAGCTAAGCCTGGCTGTGTCAGTGGTGAATCCTTGGAAAATCCTTGGAAAACCCTGAGCTCCGTGTCACCACCAAACCTGGCTGTATCAATGGCAAATCCTTGGAAAACCCTGAGCTCCGTGTCACCACCAAACCTGGCTGTATCAATGGCAAATCCTTGGAAAACCCTGAGCTCCGTGTCACCACCAGGCCTGGCTGTATCAATGGCAAATCCTTGGAAAACCCTGAGCTCCGTGTCACCACCAAGCCTGGCTGTATCAATGGCAAATCCTTGGAAAACTCTCAGCTCCGTGTCACCACCAAGCCTGGCTGTATCAATGACAAATCCTTGGAAAACTCTCAGCTCCATGGCACCACCCAGCCTGGCTGTGTCAGTGGTGAATCCTTGGAAAATCCTTGGAAAACCCTGAGCTCCGTGTCACCACCCAGCCTGGCTGTATCAATGGCAAATCCTTGGAAAACCCTGAGCTCCATGTCACCACCAAGCCTGGCTGCTCCATTCCAGCAGCGGTGTCTGGGCCGATTGCTCTCGTTCGTGCTGCAGAAATGAATTCCTTTAAGGTGCAGGTGGCTCACGGATTTTGTTCCCTGCCAGGGCCTCGATGTGGACTCCCTGGTGATCGAGCACATCCAGGTGAACAAGGCTCCCAAGATGCGCCGCCGCACGTACCGGGCGCACGGCAGGATCAACCCCTACATGAGCTCCCCGTGCCACATCGAGATGATCCTCACGGAGAAGGAGCAGATCGTGCCCAAGCCAGAGGAGGAGGTTGCCCAGAAGAAAAAGGTACCGGTGTTGAGTGCTCTGTTCTGTAATCCTGTCGGGAGAGCCGAGGGTCCAGCAGAGAGAGCGGTTGCTGTGATGACTATCTTAGGACACCTTTGGAATGCCCATGAAAAATAGTAAAATCTCTCTGAGCAACCCCTTTTTTTAAATTTTAACACAAGTACTAAGCACTTGGGAACCCTGAGAACCATTTTTTAATTGCACAGAGGGTTGGTTCTTTCCTCCATCAAAGTGGCTGCAGCATTCTCAGACTGTGAACCCTGGGCGTGTGCAATAAAATGAGTTTAGAGCCTGCAAGCAATGTCGTGCTTGCAGGGATTCCTGTTCATGTGCAGGTGTGATGAGTGTATCATTTGTGAGGGAATTCCTAACAGTTTGCAGCACTTCTAAATGATAACTTCAGGATGTTTTGGGAAGTCTCATTTCAATGTTTTTTCTTTCTTTGCTTCCCAGATCTCCCAGAAGAAGCTGAAGAAGCAAAAGCTAATGGCTCGGGAGTAAATCTGCAAGGACAGATGTACATAAATAAAATTTTAAAGTTTGGATTGATTGTGTTGCTCTGCTACAAGTTCTGACTTGGCACCGGGCGTTGCTGTGGGAGGGGGGCAGTAAATATTACAGAACCATGGGGTGGTTTGGCTGGGAAGGGAGTTTGGAGCTCATCCAGTGCTGCAGGGACACCTTCCACTGTCTCGGGGTGCTCCAAGCCTGATGCAGCATGGACTGGAGCACTGCCAGGGATCCCGGGACAGCCACAGCGGCTCTGGGCACCTGTTCCAGGGCCTGCCCGCGCTCCCAGCCAGCAATTCCTTCCCGGTATTGGACCTTCAAACCGGGAAATCCCAGTTCCTCCTCCTGGATCCGGGAAAATCGGGAATGCTGTCCCCGCGGCCACCCCGGTAGTGGCATCCCCCAGCCTCCTGGGCTCGCTCGTCCTTTACAGAAAACGGGCAAAGCCCGGCGGGTTTTCCTTGTGGCGCTTTCCGGGCGTCTTTTCTCCCTCTTTGTCTCTCTCCCGTGCTAACCAGCTGGCGCAGCATCGAGTCACCGAAGGAATCCAGCGGGACGGTGCTTCTCGCTGATCCCGGGGATCGCTGGTGCTTCAGGCGGAGGTGGGGATGATTTTTGGGGAGGGATCTTGGCACGGAGCGGCTGCAGAGGCGACACAACACGCGCTGTTTCACTGGGAGGGAGCGTGGAGGGGCAGGACACAGGGAATGGCTCCCACTGCCAGAGGGCAGGGACAGATGGGATATTGGGAATTGGGAATTGCTGGCTGGGAGGGTGGGCAGGCCCTGGCACAGGGTGCCCAGAGCAGCTGTGGCTGCCCCCGGATCCCTGGAAGTGTCCAAAGCCAGGTTGGATGGGGCTTGGAGCATCCTGGGACAGTGGAAGGTGACCCTTCCATTATTATTATTATTATATTAGCTGGTCTTCCCTGCTAACTTTTTTTTTTAACTTCTCATTTCAAACAATTTTATTGCTAAGCTCACAATCCCCCTCGCTCTTCTGAAAAGGGAGGCTCTAAGAGCAAATTGGCTTGAAAATCACTGTGGGAGTTGAGTGTCACACACTTGTCACACACGGTTGTTACCATCTGACAGCCTCTCAGCCCCAAGACAAGAGCAAATGGACACCTGCCTTCAGCACTTTCTTAACACCGTTGATGGTGGAGGTGAGCAAGGAGTGCACCTTCTGGTCATCATTGATGTAGTCTGTGTGTCTGAGGCACATGTAGAGGATGTAAGCAGGAAGGCAGGGAACAGTAGCAGACACTGCCTGGGGCTTGAGCTCTGGAAGATTTGACAATTAAAAAAGTGAAAAGATTTCACATAAAAAGCAAACTTAAATTTCCCCAACTGACAAGTGAAGCAGAGAAACTCCAGAGCTGGAGTGTACCCAGGCAAACCCCTCTCCCTTCAGCCCTGGGGAAAATGGTATTTTGGCTCTGCAATTTGCATCCCTCTCTGCAGAGTGGACCCAGAGCCAGAGGTTCAGCTGCAGGACAGAGGGACCTGCCCCAGACCCTCAGCACTCAGGCTTGGGAGGGCAGCCCTGCCTGCACTGATGTTTGTGACAACTCCCATTTCTCCTTATAGATGCACAGTGGAGCCAGAGCTTCTCTACCGTGTAAAACTCAACCCAGCAGCACACAGACCACCTTAGAACAGCTCCCTGAAGTTTTCAGGAATACCTGGCACAATAAATCCTCTCCCTGAACTGATGACACATTAAATCACTCCTTCCCTCAAGATACGGAATCCTAACGGCAGCTGTGGGCATTTGGAGCCTCTAAAGAACAAGCTTGTCTGATCAGGGCAACTTCAGTGCCCACAGAAACGGGCTGGCACTGCTCTGTGAACACTTTTTGGATCCCCACTGGGCTCTGCTGGGGCTAGAGCTGTGGTGAATACCAACACCTTGCCAGGGCAGCCTGACTGCACTGAGTGAGGGATGCTGCAGCATGTCCAGTGCAGCCTGTGCCGTGCAGAAGAGCTCACAGTTCATTGTTGTCTGTTATTACCTCATAAACCGAGCTGCCTTTGTTCCACTGCTGTGCCAGGTCCCAGGGGTCTGTCCTTCTGCCACCCCCTCCCCATCTATCACATCACATAAAGCTCAGCGAGTTACTGCCTGCTCTAAAAGCTGTGGCCTTGCTTTGCGTTTCCCATTTTTTGCCATCCCTAAGGGATTGTGTCCAGTCTGGTTTATCTGCTTAGTGCAGTGCTACTTTTCCTACTTCAACTGCCATCACCACAAACATGCAACCCTAGAAGGGATTAATTAAGATTATCTATTTGCCTTAACCTTAATTTTTTAATCTCAAATTTACAAACTGTCCCAGGCGTGAGAAGGAGCAGCCAGGCAGAGAAGCAGAGCAAGTTCCTTACCTGTAATGAGGTTTCGGATGAGGAGTGGCTCATCTTCTTTGTAATATTCCAGCATGCCCTGAAAATCCTTCTCCTTCCTCTGGACAGCAACCTGCATGTTCCGCTCGTGCAGCCTCCTCTCCACTGGCACCATTGTCTGGGATGCTGTGAAGAGAAAAGATTATCAACACCTGGCTGGCTCCTGGATAGCAACAGCTCTTCAGGCCCTCCACTGCCGACACCAAGTCGAAAAGTTACTTCCCAATTATGTCATCAGCTTTGACAGACACATAAAAATATAAACAATGAGGTCCTGGATTACCAGTCCACAGAGTTCTGACGCTGAATGGAAGAAAAAGTGCAAAACTTGAACTTAAAAGAGGAAAAAAATGAAGCCATTTTTTATTTTCTGAGAGACCACAGGCTAGAAGGTAGCAACCCCAGTGAATGATTTTCACAGAGCCAGGCAAAAAGCAGGCAGTCAATGCAAAATCCCTGAGCATGGCCACTTCTGTCTGCCTGCAAAGCTGCAAACCACAGCAGCACACTGCTGGAGTGCAATAAGGCAGAAGAGACCAGCATGCAAATCACACTGACAGAGAGCAGCTGGGCAAGCCGTGGAAACCCTCCAGTTACCCAGCTTAATTTCACTTAATGCCTGGTTCCCAGAAATTAACTCATGAGGATGGAGCTCTCTGATTAATCACGGCTTCTCCAGAGAACAGGAAGCGCTTTCTATGCAACACAGATTCCACATTTAAGGCACTTTCTCATTAAGCAGAATATACATACACATTTTGATACTAAAGGGTTATAATCCCCCCTTCAAAACTGACAGATCAAAAACTTTTCCTGCTGGCCACGGGGCTCCTTTCAGTATCTCTGCCTGGGTCACTGCATTGACTGCAATGACAGCAGAAAATTTCCTTAAATATCCTCCAAACCCTGGTACAGAGTCAATGTCAGCTCAGTGCCTGCTGCTAATTCAGTGACACAACAAGCAAAATCTTATTAGAAAGAAAAAGAGAAAAAAATCCCAAACCCTACAGCCCTCCAAGACTGGCCAAAGAAGTAAAACCCAAGTGAGTTCCGCCAACCCACTATCTCCCAATGCACAAGTCACCTTCAAAATCATGGACCTTCTTCATGTAAATCTTCAGCTGCTTCTTCAGCTTCTTTTCATTCTTTTCCGACTTTTCCAGCAATTCTTTAAGATCCTGAAAGACAGAAGATACATTTAAAGAAATCCCAACATTAAACCCAAGAACAACTCATTTATTTGGGGTGAGTTAGGGGCTGGAGTCTGGTCTGTGCATCACCAAGGCATGGTGTGAGCACCTCAGTGGAAGAGGAGCACACCCACAGCATTTAATCCTGGCTGCTAATCACATTTAAACAGTTTTATTTAGATACCGGAGTTGTTGAAAAAGGGCAAAAACTCAGGAGGTGCCAACATTCCCTCCAGACTTTGCACACAGATACAGAAGGGGAGAAGGGGAAGATTTATGATGATCCAGACCAACTTTTTGGAGTGGCAACTGCCTTTCCACACTTCCAATAAAAGCAAGTAAGATGAAAAACCTGTGCTGCCTCTGTGCCTAACAGAGTAGAAGGGTCCCCAGTGATCTGATTTGGAAGGCAATGCCACAAAGTAGACAGACTTTAAAAAGCATTTTAAAAAAATTAAAAATAAAGCATCTGTGTAGTCACAAAAGTCATACAGCCATGGAACATCAGCTCAAGGCCAAGTGCCAACACTCCCAAATGCACCAGTGGAAGATGCTGATGGATTCTCCAGAGTTTAGGAAGGGTGAAAAGGATCCTAGTGCCCTTCCCTCCACATTATGCTTCATATCTCTTTCTCTCTAACCATTTTTTGCCCTCTTTCTGTGTTCTCAGCACAGCCTCTTACCAGGTTTTCATTGGTCAGACGTGTAATTTCTTGCTGAAGTCCAAACTCCACCTGGACCTCTGGAGAGAGCTGCAGAGTTTGCAGGAATGCCTGCTGCTGCTTCTCCAGCTCCTCTTGCATGAAATCCACCTGGTTTTTCAGAGCTTCCATCTCCTCCTCATGCTCCCTTCTCTGCTCCTGGAGCTGTGCTTCCAGCAACCTGAGAACAGGACACACCGATCAGTCTGTGAGGTCAGCGTGACGGTACCAACCACCATTTGAGTTTAGAGCCTTCAAAATCAGCCAGCTTGGGAGATATTCTGTCAACCTCCCTATAAAACTGACAAACAAGAAGCTATTATTGCCACATTACTCTGTCATGTGCTAAACTGCAGATGAAATACTTCTGAAATCAAGAATTATGAAATGTTGGGATTTTAAAAAAATAAATCCCAAAGCACCCTTTTGTATTTAACTGCATCAAACATCCAGGTTCCTTTACTTGCAAAGAGTAAATACATGGCAAGAAAGCAAGACAGATCAACACCTGCAGGTTTTGTTTTAAGAGCTCAGCTTGAAGGACATTTGTTCCTGTGCTCCTTTCCTGTCAAACATAAATTTTCACTCTTGAAAAATGCCTTTTGCTAAGCCAGAATTCCTTTTTAAACCCAGTGGAAAAATGATTAATCACTGAGGTGTTAACTGCAGACACCTGTGCTGATGGTGATGGTGACAAACCTGCAGGTGACATGGGAGCTGATTCTAGGTGTCCCCTTCGCTGTGCTACATGGACATCTCCCTTCAGCCCACCAGCTCTTGCCAGAAGGTTGAAGTGATTCCAGAAGATGTAAGGACTCTGAGAGGGCCACCAGGCCAGAAGCTACAAAGTTTAGTCCCAGATTATACAGGACAGTGGTAGCTGAGAGAAGGAATGACCCAAGGGACTGCCCAGCCCCTGCCCCTGCTGCAGCCCACGGATGTGCTTGGTCAGAGCTGTGGCCACCTCACAGCAGCTCAGGGCCTTCTGACACTGGATGCCAACAGCAATCCTCAAAGATGAGCAGGATTCTGCTGCTGGCAGCTCCACACTGACCCAGGACACACACAGACACAGAGCCACAACTGCTCTGGTCCCCTGGGAAATTGTGATCCACACCTGCCAACTGTTTCCTACAGGAACAACTATGCGTGGAATGTTTTGTTGTTATTTTGGCATTTTTCTGTAATAAATTCATAGAAAAGTGCATGCTTTCAGGGGAGATTCCTGGAGGAAAAGTACTAATCACCCCCAGGTTATTTTGTGTGGTTGTTGTTTTTGTTGCCTTTAGAAAATTTAACAACACAGTGGCTACTCCCACATCCCAGCACAAGACAGAAAAGCATGTTTTACACCTATAGAAACATGAGCAAAATGCAGTCAGCCTCATAATCCTGTCAGGAGTTATATTCGTAATAGGCTTGGAAAATACAGACCCACCATGAAATAAGTATTAAGTACTTAATTTTCATTTTATTTCTTCATACTGGGATTAGTTGGGATTCAGTCTGGATAATCTGTGAGACACCCTCAGAAGAACATGCTCCTTCTATGAACCTGGGTTCCTACTTTGCTTGGAAAAACACATGAAATAATCTCTGATATTTCTTCTGTTACTGTCTGGTTTCACTCTGATACCTCTAGATGTGAACACTTTAGACTACTCTATACAAAACACTTCAATTTTTAATCTCTTTAATGTCCTTAAAACTTTAATAAAATCATACATATTGGAGCCCCATAACCACCAAGCACGGGGGTGATGCAGGACAAGAATCCAGCAGGGATATCTGCCCAGCAGAGCAGGGCCTGGGGAGGACTGTGGAATGATGGCACCGTGTCCACCACGCCTTTCTCACCCACAGACAACACGTGGGTGGGAGCACAAAATCCCCAGGATCACACAGAGGTGACAGCACTGGGACACAAGCACAGACCCTCCCCTTCCAACAGGTCAGAGACTGGGAGAAAAACACTTCTGAGAGGTGCCATGTCTTAGTGCAATTTGGGAGAAAAAAATAAAATGGGAAGGGTTTTTTGTGTTCTTAGAGATCCCAGCTTCCCAAGCCCTTCATCACCCAATTTTTCATTGCTGTCACATAATCCTTACTGGGTCACAGCTCAGGCATCAGTGACAACAGCCACCACCAGCCACAGGCAGCTGGAACCATGACTCCCCTGCAGATTACAGGAGGGTCTCAGTCCCTGCAGGTGGAAATCCCACCTCCAGCTGCTCCAGACAGGACATCCAGCCCTGTCCAGGGCCACAGGGCAGCAGCAGAGCCAGAGAGAGAAATGAGAGGGCAGGAAAGGGAGGAGAAGGGAGAAGCAGTGCTGGGAGAAACAGAAAGTGTTTGACCTGGCAACTTGCTTTAAACCTTGATAAGCCAAGCCGAGCTCTCCATCTTCATTGAGATAGCCCCAGTCCTCAGTCTTGCTAGAAATAAAGGACAGAGAAAGGAAACAAGAGGACAGAGAAAGACAAAAGGTCAGTTGAAAGAGAAGGGGAAAAGGTACAGAACCCTTATTTATTTCATTCAATATTATTTTTTTAGAGCATACTTTCATTGCATTGCATTTCTTTTTCCACCAGGGGAAAGGAGAACTCTGCCCTGGTTGTGCCCTGTGTGACATTTTAAAAACAAGTTTCTCCATCTCTTTCCCACTGCAGCAACTCCCACTGGTCTAAAATAAATTCTACTCCTTCTACTTCAGCCCAGGGTTTCCTCAGTATTTGACTCAAACACATCAGTCTTTCCTCAAAGCCACCTTTGGTCCAAGCAGCACGTGCATCCACACAAGATCAACCTCCTCTGTATACATCCAGGCAGATTAATGGCCAGGAAAGTCTCATCTCACTTCAATACTTTCAGCAGTTGGCTTTTTTAGTCTACATTCTGCTGATTGTTTGGGGCTTTTTCCCCCAAGTTGTATGAGGCAAGAAGCTGATTTATCTTCTTTAATGAGGGGCTGGACACATAACAAATTAGTGAGGTAAGCTGGTCAGCTTGACCAGAAACACTTGTTACAGCAAGATTTTACGTGGCTTTGATGTCAGTTAGAAAAAAGTGTTTGTTTTAAGCAATAACAATTTAAAAAGTAAGCAAGGAAACCATCAAACTTGATGTATCATTATATTAATAAAAAAACAAAACAAAAACACAAAAAGGAGAATTGCAAACACACATTTTGAAGGAGCTGTAGCAGATGCCATTCCCTGGCAAGGGAATCTCTGCATATTTCAGTGGCAAAGCACAACACACCAACATTCCTGAGCAGATTTTCACAGGAGGAAAGGAGTGAGAAATGCGGTGTTGCAGCTCTGCCTTGAAGGGGCTCTGGAGGTGCCTCACCACCACAGACAGCTCGTGCATCCCTCCCATGCCAGTGCTCCAGCACAGCACTTCTCAAAACCAGCAAACATTTCAGGCACTGACACTTGCAAAGTTCCTCTGTTAGAACCACACGTATGAATTTAATTAAAACCTTTCTGCTATCCCATATGTAACAGGTTTCCAAAAGGGTCTGCAGCCTGACAGATACAGGGAGGTTTACTGGTCTCATTTGCATGAATTTGTTAGGAAAGTCTTATTTTTTTGTTAATGTAATCTTAGCAGGACATGTCCTCAGGTACTGAAAACCAAAAGAAAAAGCAGGAAGGGTCCCCACTATTTATTGCACATCAGAAACCTGTGAAATCTCACATGATGACCAGCATTTTTAAGAGACAGCCTCTTTGGAAAAATAGCTTTCTTTCCTTTTTTAATCATAGGCATTGAGGTAAATGAGGAGAGCAGCTCAAGAAAGTGCCATTATAAGTTAAATATATAAAAATGCTGATTTAAGGTAAACCTGCACTGGGAAATAAGCATTCAGTCCATCTCTATCAACACAGCACTGACTCAGAAGTCACTGCACTCCCTCTTCTCCCAGAGGTCACACTGACCTAGACATAAAAAGGGGTCCTTTCAACGTAGTTAGAGTAATTGGCATCTGAAGCACAATTTCCTGAAATAATTGGTCAATCCTATTCTCAGGTAGGGCTGGAGGGGAGTTGGAAGGGCTGACTCACAAAGCTTTGTTTCCCCTGTATCCTGATCTTGGAGGCACAGGTCTGGGGAGCAGCTGGGACCTGCAGTCAGCAAACTGTCCTCATCAAAACCAAAAAATTCCCACCCAAACACATCCCTGCCCTGTAAAAGTAGCTCAAAGGGGATGTATGTACCCCAAACCCAGAGATGTTAATTCCAGCATCTTCAGTAAATTATCCTCTCTTCATAGAGAAGGGGCATTTCACTTTCAGACACAGATTTACCTCTTATTTAAGGTAAAAGGAAAAATACGGTGCATCACAGACCAGATCTATGGCAGAGTGGGAAGATACCCACTGCAGGGTGGGAGGCAGAGGTGTGATACCATCTCCACATGATGGTCTCTCCCAGCTGCAAAAGCATCCCTCATGTGAAGCAGCATCAGCTCTTCCTTTGCCCAGCAGCTGCAGGTAGGGCTTGTCCAACAGGGGAAAAAAAATCCATGTACTCACAGAAATCTCTTGGAAGCTGCCATGGAGGCTCATTTCAAAGGCACAGCCTCATTTACTGTGAGCTGCCAGGTTATCATCTCTTAACACCATCACCTGGTCTCTCACTGGTTCTGTTTCCACCAAGATCAAACAGGCTTGAGGGAATGATCCCAAGAGCAGAAACAGGGAACAAAAAGCCTACTTAGCTTTAATTCAGTTATTGTAGGAGGAAAATGAGGTAGGAACTAACTTGATTTTCCTCTTAGCAGCTGAAATCCAGCAGATTTTAATTTTTTTTAAGAAAGAAAAAAGCTGAGTTTAATGCATTTATAAAGAAAGGGCTGATTTCAGTTCAAACTTGCCCTTGACATGGAATCAAAGGGCTTTTCTCTGGAAGTTTGTGGAGAGGGAACTGCTAGATGGGCAGGGTTAGCAGCACCTGGCAGGGTTCTTCCTGATTTCTTCCTGCTGTACTTAGAAGTGCTGCATCATACAGACATGGAGAGAATAAAAGGTTGATCTCCCACCAAAACACAGCCATGCTCTGTCCTCAGCCTAAATAACTGAGAGATGATGGCTTGGAGCAAGGAGCACCTCCTGGGTGGAGCAAGGTTTTACCACATCCACAAGCCTGGGCTGGTGAAGAACCTCCACCTGCTCAAAAAGCACCTCAGAGTGGGGGGCAAAGAGCAGCTGAGAGCCCCAAAAGATTGGGCCAGAGGGCAGGGACAGATGGGATATTGGGAATTGGGAATTGCTGGCTGGGAGGGTGGGCAGGCCCTGGCACAGGGTGCCCAGAGCAGCAGCTTTTCTTGCTCCTCTGTGCCTGGGCTTGCCCAGATGATGCTGACAGGGCCAGTGAGCACAGGCTGAGGCACAGGATGGTCCCTCTGAACATCAGAAACCTTTTTCACGGTGAGAGTGACCAAGCACAATCACACACTGGCCTGGGTGAAGCCAGAGAACACGAATAGGGCAGTACCTGATTTATCATTTAGAGAAATTAATACCATAAGCAGGGTAGGAAACGGTAGCTGAAGCCAGGAGGTCCCTTCCAGCCGGCAGAGTTCTAAATTCAGGATGGAAAATGGAGAGAAAATTGTGCAGGTGGGGTGGGAGGTGCTGAGCTGGGGTCACTCTCATTGCTGCTCCAAACCAGCCTTGCCTCAGGCCAAGGGAGACCCTCAGCTCTGGTCCATGTGGGACAAGGGGAGCTTTAAACTGCTTAAAATGAGGGTAAAGTGAGGAAAGCTTTCTGAAAAATGCTCAGGGCCTTTCTTTTCCCCTAAAGTCCCTAGAAAACCTGTTGCCTCCCTGAAAATGGGGTAGTGCAGCAGCCAGGGAGGACTTGAAACCGTGGCAGGTAATGGGAAGAATAAATCTTGTAGCACAATAAATCAGCAAGGGAGCTAGATAGTGATTCCCTTTGCTATGCAAGCTGGCTGTTGGGTAATAAAATACATTATTTATGGAGGAAATGTGCAAAACCTTTCAAGCAGAAAATTTATGTGTCAAGGTAAATAAAAAACACTTCTTGTACACAGAAAAAAAGCCAAAAACAAAGACATGGAGTTTCTTGTGTGTTAAGGAAAGGATGGGCAGCTGAACTGAGACCAGTGTTGCTGGAGGCTGATTCTAGATATGAGAAACATGGGGGCAGCACAGTAGTGATAACTGGAATTGGCAACTAATAATTGAAGAATAATTGATGTAATAATTTGCATCTGACTATGCAAAGATACTGGTAAAAAAAGTGGGATTTGAGCCTTAAAATTAACTCTGGCAGCTCTGTGAGCTGACTGTCTAATGGTGAGTTAGGTGGCAGTGGTTCAGAAAGGGTTTGTGTGGATATTCATAGTTCATCCAGTTTGTATTTGCAGTAGTTTGCTGTAGAAGAGAGCTGCTCTTACTGTGTCATGAAAGCTGTGTTCTTTCTCTTACCTGTCCTTGCTCATAGAAAGTTAATGAGACAGGGAAAAGTCCAGCCAGCCTGAGTTTTGTGCTGCTGTGGATATTAGTGCTGGCCCTGGGAAAGTCCCACTAGACAAAGGAGAAATGGCTGTAGGTCTCACAGCTCAATTTTTTACTGTATAGAGGCTGCATCTTGCTGGACTCATGGGGTGAATTTGGAATTCACCGTGTCCTTAAGCTTCTCCTTTTAACACTACAGCTTTGTTACTCTGTATTTTTAATTTTCCTGCCTTTTCAAATGAAAGTCTCATACCAGTTTACAGTAACAGATCGAGTCATAAAATCAACACTCTGAAATGGGAGGATGCTGGAGGAGACATTTTAAAAACTGCCCCAAATCCTCCAAGCAGCAGACGCTGCCTTTTAACATCACAGTTGGTAGTTTGCTCCTTTGCTGTGCCTTATCTGGGTTTGGCAGGGGACAAAGAAGCCTGTGCTGATAACTGTGAACGAACAGTAACCTCTGCTCTCAGCCATCACATCAGGTTGGCTTATGAAAACAGAGAAGTAAAGGTGGAAAAGCACCTGTTCTGCTTCACTGATACAAAAGAAATATATATATATGTATATAATTTGCATATATTTCAGAGCAGTGGTATAGAGGAAGATTTAAGCAGCCCCTTCTGTGTCTGTGATTAAGTGGCATGAAGTATTTGCTTGGCTATAAGCCTCCTGAAAAAGGTAGGGGCTTTTGGTCATGAGCATATAAAAACAGTGGAACATGAAGTTAAGGGGCTTGTTGCAGTTTTAAAAAATAGATAAAATCAGTGTTTTCCAGCAGCTGTCCCTCTCTGTGTCAGTCAGACAGTCCAGGCTCTGTTTCTGGGGCAGGAGTGAATATTCACGGTGCTCTGTGTGTGTTTTGTGACTGGGAGACCCCCTTGTTGTGTTTGTCCTCTGTGCACCACCTTCCCTGGCTTGGCTAAGCGTGGAGGGGCTTGGTGAGCCCAGACCCTGCCCAAAATCTGGTGACGGTCACAGCTTGGCTTCCTTCTCACTCAGCCCCAAGGAGTTCACTTTTTCACGCTCCAGTAGTTTTTCTGCTTTCTGTCAAGGGCGTGGGATATGAAAAGTTGAGTGATTCTGGCACTAGGTCCTTGATGAGTGAGAGCCGTGGGGGTGAGGCGGCTGCAGCTCCATTGCCCAGCTGTGAAAAGGGGTTTTCTTACAAAATTTCCTTTGGCCTCACCTTGCCATCACGCCTTGAGGAAGTCACCAGCGCTGTGAAGCGGCAGCAGCGGTTTCCTGGTGCCTGGTGAGTCGGTGTGCGGGGCAGGACAGGTCGGGGTGGGCGTTGTGCTTCTCCCCTTGAGCCACCCTGAGCTGCCCTGCGGGGTTTGTGCCGCTCCCTGGGACCTGCTGGGCACCGGCTGGCTGCAAGCACCCTGACAAGCAGGACACCGACAAAACCTGTGACAAAAAGGGGGTTTGGGCATAATCCTAGCAGCCTTGTGTGTCATTTAAATGGGTTTGAGGAGGTGGTTGACTAATCGTGGAAAAGGAGGTATTTGATCTATTCCTCCTCAAAAGTAATTGCTCAAACTGGTCGTTGTGTTTGTGGGATTGTTTATTTCTTGAAATCCAACAGAAAAGCTAATCAGACAAACTTTGAGATCCATCTTTTGCAATTCAAAGGACTTGTCCTTCTAGAGAAATACATCTTAGTACATCTTCATCTTAGATCTAGGAATGGGCTGTAGGGTTGAGGTGAAAAAAATCCCCCCACCGGATTTTGAATTTGCCTTAAATTCTGGAAAGGCTTAAGGGAAGAGTTCTGATTTAAGCTCTGAAGTATTTTTTCATCTTTGCTTTCAACACTCTTCTTTGGGACTCACCTGCAAAAATCAGGGAAGAGGTCATTAGCTGTGATGCCTTCCATTCC